CAGCCCCTGTCCCCTCCCCCACAGTCCTTCCTCTACCTGGTCTGGTACATGGTCATGTCCCTGCTCGGCCACTACAACAACTTCTTCTTCGCCGCCCACCTGCTGGACATCGCCATGGGCGTCAAGACACTGCGCACCATCCTCTCCTCCGTCACCCACAACGGCAAGCAGGTGGGGCCGGGCCGGGCCGGGGGGGGTCACGCTGCGGGGAGCGGGGCGGGGTCTACGCTGGAGGAGTGGGGGGACCCTTGGTGCCCGACCCCAGCTGGCGATGAGGGTGGGGGAGGCAGGGGCCCGGCTGGGTGCTCTCTGGCGGTGATACCAGCCCTCAATGCCCCCCATCTGGCGATGACCATGGGGGGCTGCGCTGGGGGGCAGGACAGGGGCTGCGTTGGAGGGGTGGGGGGACTCCCCGTGCCCCCCCAGCTGGCGATGATGGTGGGGGTGGGGGGGCAGGCCGGGGGCGGGGGGCAGGTCGGGCTCTCTCCGGCGGCAGTACCAGCCCCCCCGTGCCCCCCCAGCTGGCGATGACGGTGGGGCTGTTGGCCGTGGTCGTCTACCTCTACACCGTGGTGGCCTTTAACTTCTTCCGCAAGTTCTACAACAAGAGCGAGGACGAGGACGAGCCGGACATGAAATGTGACGACATGATGACAGTGAGGGGGGGGGGGGTACTCCGGGGGGGGGGCACCCTTGGCTGGGGGGGGGGCCGGGGGCACAAGGGGATCCCTGGGCCCCGATGGGTGTGTGTGGGGGGGTTGCTCTGATGGCTCCAGGGGTGGCGTCCAGGTCCCCCCGTCTCTGACCCATCGGGCACCCCTCACCCCACCGTGTCTCCCCCCAGTGCTACCTGTTCCACATGTACGTGGGGGTGCGGGCGGGCGGGGGCATCGGGGACGAGATCGAGGACCCGGCCGGCGACGAGTACGAGCTTTACCGCGTGGTGTTCGACATCACCTTCTTCTTCTTCGTCGTCGTCATCCTGCTGGCCATCATCCAGGGTGAGCGGGGGGCTGGGGGGGCTGAGCTGGGGGCTGCATGAGGGTGAGTGGGGCGGGTGCGCTGGGCTGGGCGGTGAGTGGGGTGGGGTTGCATGGGGGGTGAAGGGGGTGGGGATGCTGGGCTGGGGGGTGAGCGGGGCAGGGGTGCTGGGGTGGGGGCTGCATGGGGGGTGAATGGGGTGGGGATGCTGGGCTGGGGGGTGAACGGGGTGGGGGCGCCGGGCTGGGGGGTGAGCGGGGGGTTGCTGGGCTGGGGGGTGAATGGGGTGGGGGCGCCGGGCTGGGGAGTGAACGAGACGGGACGCTGTGCCTGGGGCACCCTGTCAGCAGTCGGCGCTGAGGTGGGGGGCCCAGCCCCGCTCCTGTGTGGGAGAGGAGTGGGGGCTGGGTAGGCTGGCCCCTGGGCGCTGCCCCCTGGGTGACTCAGGGGGACCCCTCGCCCCCCTCTCTCTGCCCAGGCCTGATCATCGACGCCTTCG